GTGACCGAAGCGCTGCAAAATTTTGAAAAGCGTAACCTTTGCACAACATGAATAATTTGGATTATGTAGCAAATGTCAAAATCAGTCCAAATGCGAATAGTCGAAGTTCACCATACCTGACAGCCGCGTTGATGTAGGAGGAGCTTCTTTAAATGGTGGTTTATCTTGTTGACGTTGTGGCGCCATCGTTTGAACTCTTCTTCCAAATAATTTACCTTGAAACTTATGTATTCCCAACAATGGGGACAAGCTTCACCAAAGGTTTTGTTTTGCACGAGGTCGTGGTCGACAACTTCTGAAGACTGCGACGGTGCCGATGCCATCGGTCGCCAGTGCTTCATTTCGTTTTCCAAGTACTTCACTCGCTGACTCAACTCCTTGATGACAGTTTTCTGCGTCTCTTCGTTCAGCGTGTTTTCTTGAGGTATGTTGGGAGTCGAAGAGGGCTCCTGTTGTCCGAACGGGGGCTTCACAAAGCTCGATCGCCCTCCGCTGTTGCAGTGATACCCAGCGCCACTCTGCATGCTGACGTTGTAGATGTCGCCGATGAACGTCGAGTTGCCCCAGAAGCGCTGTCCGACCCAAACCCTAGGTTTGTGTCGTTCCAAGATGCTGAAATCGATTTCTGGATACTGTCCAGAAACGGCTTCGATGCAGTCGATGAACAGTCGTAGGTTTTCGTTTGTCATCTCGAACACCAGTTTATGCGCATGTCTATCATCCAATTCGTATTTAACGATCAGGTGCGCTATTCTGGACTTCCGTCTCCACGACACCTTTAATTCTCCTGAAACAGCAATAGGCATGTGAACTTCTGCTTAGTAAGGTAAACTCTAAAAATTTAATTATTAGGTATAAACCTTAAAAACAGGGTCACTGTTATCGCCACAAAGAAAACGACACCGGCGAAGAAATATAATGATCATAACCGTAAACGCAGTTGCAAAGAAGGCAAAAGAGAGTTTGTAACCGTGAGGATGTAGGCCTCTTTCACACTTTTATGACTGGGCACCATTTGTGACACCTATTTTCACAAATGTTCTGGTGGGACGTTAATCTCCGTCTCTGTTTCATCAGATAGGATTACTTTATTATTTTTGCTCTAAGGCTACGTCCACAGTTCTGTGACCACCATACCGAGTGGTCGCAACTTTCTTTCCCGTGAAACAGCAATCACTTATCTACCTCCCAGGGAAGAAAGGGTGTGATCTGACTCAGACCTGAAACCCTCGCAGTTATGAGTCTGACGCTTTATCGAGAGAAACAGTGATGCAGAAGCTGCGAAGAAGGACAGGCTGAATATTCAACAGCAGTGCTGTGCCTACAAAAATGACATTCTCGTCATATGTAATTGCCCTTCTTCCAAAGAATTGAAGCCAAACATGCCCAAACACAGAGACTAATTGACTGATCCCATTCATTGGCAATGCTTATGTATGGAGCGTGTAAAGCAGGTTAGGTACATAAAAGTCACTCTCTTCACTGGCACTGCTTCGCAGCCACGCAAAATCTACGGTGTTCCGTTGCTGTGGTGCGGCCCTATACGAAGAAAGGTTGCGAAAACTTCATGCACCAAAAACATTCTGCCGCCAACCTTATCCTTGCAACATACAGAGAGAAAACGACGAAATTTCGTAAAGCAAGAAACAGCTAATTACACGAGTAGTTACAGTACGCACGCATAATTACAGTATGCATAGTATTGTTTTCTGAACTAATCGTTTATGAGAAGATGAGGAACGGCTAAGACCGCAGCAACGAGCAATGGAAAAAAATGATGTAAAAATCGATCAGAGCCAGTCCCTGGAAAGGGGAAGACGAAGAGCCGTTATAAAAAGACTAAAGACGGCATGCTAATCATTTCTCATCACTGATGGATGACACAGGGATGTCAAGATTGAAAAATATTGCTTGGCTGGCAATCACGAGTCAGAAGACCTAAGAGATCAAACGCTCGGTGATGAGCTAAAATAGGAATATGGAAACCTGGGCGATAAATCGCTTTCAACAGACAGACGTGGCAATGGCCTTAGCAGAAACAGTGATCGATAAAGGCTGAGGGTGCATTATATTATTTTTCCTGCTATAGTAGCTAATTATTTTAATCCAGTGTTAGAATACGTATATTCTCAACATGATGACATGTTTCATGTCCTTCCGCTTCATTTCTGAAACACAACAATGGAATACCTTTTCTGGATATCGTAGTTCTGCGCAGAGTTCAGTTGAAGATGTTTTTCGGTTAATAGAAAAAAATGAAGAAGAAAATCATAGTTATACTTTGTGCTGATCATCATATTTTATATTCAACGATCGTGTGGGTCAAGGCGAGTGTAGGCACACTGGGTATTCGCATCGGACAGCTTGGCCGTACAACGCGCCGCTATTTCTAACATGATAACACCTGATTTACTATCACTCGCTATCACCTACTTATTACCAGTTTCTCCACTGGTTTGCGTCGAAACGATATGGGCATAAATTGTTGTTCAAGAGAATTTGTGTCTTAGAAAAATATTAACCTTGAATGGAATGAAATCCGGCACCCCGTCCCCCCTTCCAGACCTGCGTCATTGTGCAACCAAGCCTCAGGTGGGATGAAGGAGGTTTTCAAATCTAATGGCTATATACTTGACAAACGTTTTAATAAATAGTCGATAAACTGACTGTTGGCCCCAATGATGAATAACGCAGCTATTATTCCAACCGTCAGCTTCAGAGTAAATCCTTCCACTGTTAAGTTTCTATTTCGAATCTACAACAAATAAATTATGAAACCTGGATATGATACGTCCTTTTTTATGACCCAATCATGGTAACAACGATGATAGCTACAAACAGCAATCAGTCGTCGAAGTGCTTTCAATTCACAAAACACCAAGCATCATAAATGGACAAGAGGATGTTTATATCTCTGCGTCACGGCGAAACTTATATAAACTTTTACAACGACAAAAATATTAATGAATAGGTTTTCATGGTCTACCGCTGTACACGGGCTGAAGCTGATACAGGAAAGTAACGTGAGCCCAAACCTTGGTCCTATGCCAGAAAGTTTGCTGCCATGTGTATTCGAAATAAGGTATCCATACTCATGAATCAGCCGACCGATTCAGGTACCTGTATGTATATCACCAATGACAGAAAGGCCGTTCATCCAGTCTGCCGGCACTGCATCAGAGTCAGTTTTTCAAAAGTCATGCGCTCATTTCGGATGGCCATTCCCTCAAAACAGAGTTTGTGCTAATTTAAGTTTTGGTTTATTGTCTTTCTTGCTGCCAATCATGTAACAAACTCGCTCACATGACCGTCATTCACGGCGCGGCACTAAAATTAGTTTTCCATGTTATTAACTGATATTTTTGCCCAGATTTTGACAGGTCGATGCAAGGCTATAGAAATAACGCCCTTACGAGAACCATTTTCTGTCAACTGCATTATCGATTGCGTTCTGAACCACGAATGACATGTTTCATCAGTTGTTAGTAATGTTTCATGAATCGGTGAAATTCCAGCTTATTTAGCACTCACCGTATCAGTTCACTTCAATGTGTGTCATTTGGCTCTATAAGACCTGGTCATCACAGTCTCGCACTATCACCATAAGGAATATCATAGTTTATGATTAAACATAGGCAAGCTATATGGTCGCTAGTAATGACGATGACGATAAGTAATTAACTTTCAGACTTCCATAAACTTCTAAAGTAGTTGATCGCTGTTCAAACAACGGCAACAAAAGAAATACTCCATTTAAATGGCACACCGACAGCAATGTCCCCAGAGCATCAAATTCGACTCGATTGAAATATTATCACAAACAGATCTGACTGAAGTTCAACATGCTGATTCTGCCATATGTGGGTTCCTTAATCAAAACGGTTTGCTTGCATATGGCTGTTGGTCACAGAAAAATACGCCGTATGTATGTCTAGTGACAAATCACGAATGACGATAATGGGCA